AGTAATCCGTGACAACTAGAATATACTGATTTCCTCTAGGGAGTGGTCCCATTAAATCCGTAGAAATCATCTCAAAAGGTTGACGTACTTTGGGCTGAGACACCATGAGTCCAGCAGGCCTTTGTAAGTCCGGTTTATAAGTAACACATTCTTTACAAGTTCTCACGAAACGAGACACATCAAATTTTATCTTAGGCCAAAAATACCGTTCTGCCAATCTCTTATAAGTCTTATAGACCCCCAAATGCCCAGATGTAGGATCCAAATGAACTTCCTGCAAAAGCCTGTTGCGTTCATCCTTAGGAATCACCAATTTCCAATCATCTCCTGGATCTCCAAGACCCTTGAATTTCAGATTAGTATATTTATATAATTTCCCCTGATGAATGCGAAAATTCCCAAACTTAAACGGTTGTTTCAGTACCTTGGAAAACAATCTGCTATACCATCTGTCCTGAATACCTACATTCACTTCGCGAACCTCACAAGAATCTAATACAGGAACTGCTCTCGACAACGCGTCCGGAACCACGTGATCTTTTCCTTTTCTATGTACGAAGACGAAGTCGTACTGTTGCAATTTTAATGCCCATCGAGCCAAACGTCCATTTACATCTCTGAGATTATGTAACCATACTAAAGACCAATGATCTGTATAAACTGTAAAGCGTACGCCCTCCAAATAAGGTCGAAGTTTCTCGATGGCCCAAAGGACTGCGAGACATTCGCGCTCCGTGGTAGTGTAATTCCTTTCCTGTTTAGATAAAGATCGGCTTAGGTAACTAAGGACTCTGTCTTCGTCATCTTTCTTCTGTACCAACACTGCGCCTAATCCATATTCAGATGCATCAGTGTGAACTTAGAAAGGTAATCCATAATCAGGACAGTTTAAAACTGGTGCGGACACCAAGTATTCCTTAATTTTCTGAAAAGCAGCATCACATTCATCTGTCCATACGAACTTTCGCCCTTTCCTCAATAATGCTGACATAGACGAAATAAGCGTGGAGAAATCGGGTATAAACCTCCGATACCAAGAGAAAGTACCCAAAATCATTCGGACTTCCTTGACATTTGTTGGTGCTAGAAGCTTCAACATTGCAGATACATTATCGGGATCTACATGAAGACCATTGCGATCAACAACATAGCCTAAATATTTCATCTCTGGCTTGCAGAATTGACATTTATCCCAACTTACGGTAAGCTTGGCCTTCTTCAACCTCTTAAATACTTCTTCTAAAACGGCCAAATGCTTCTCAAAAGTCTGCGTAACGATTACTACATCATCTAAATATACAAAGACATGAGGTTCTAGTTCTGAACCCAAAACATTATCAATCAAACGCTGCCAAGTAGCAGGTGCATTATGCAATCCGAAAGGCATTCGCCGAAATTGGAATAATCCTCTTCCTGGTACAGTAAAAGCTGTATAAGGTCTAGATGCTTCTGCTACAGGTACCTGCCAGTAAGCAGACTTAATGTCAAGAGACGAAAGGTAGTGTGCATCCCTTAATTTATCTAATGTGTTAGAGACATATGGCAGTGGATATCCATCCCTCTCCGTCACCGCATTAAGCTTCCTATAGTCAACACAACATCCTTCTTCTTGACTAATAAAAGAGGTGACGACCAACCACTGTGAGACCTTTCAACTACGCCTTTAGCGAGCATTTCATCAAGTTCCTTATTAATATGTTGTTGGATTACGGGCGACACTGGGTAATATCTCTGTTTGTTCATAAATACAAATGGTTCAAATTTCAGTTTCCGGTCCTAAAAAGAAATTAAGTCAAAATAGATAGCGACACTATCCCAACCTCACATAAGTAATATGAATACCCTACCTAAAGTGTGAGAAAAAACAATTATTTTATCCCAACACAAGTATCCTTATTACCGTCCTTAAGATGTAAGCTGTAGATTGTCTTTTTTTTTAAACAAATTTTAATTTAAATTACTAGCAATAAAAAATATTTTACTCAAATTTGCAACTTTATGCACAAAACCCAAAAAAGTATCAAATCAATTATTAATCTAACCTTTTCTATAACCCTTAATTTTTCCACAGGCCCCACGTTGGGCGCCAAATTGTAACCCCCAAAACGTTACTTTAAGTTCAGTTGTCCCTGATGTCAACCTTGTAGCTCCGGTTCACTCAAGTGGAGAAGGGAGTGGGTGATTACTTCGTAATCAGGGAAAAATAAATTATTTTAGCTGTTCTGTTAAATTGGACGCCAGGTAGATCTACTATACCAAGCCACTACAAATCAGAAGTCCTACTTTTAAACCTACCAAATAAATAGGAAAATAAAAGACAACCTTAACTCAAACCTTGTTTATTTCCTAATTGGAAGATAGTTTCCCCTTAGGAAATGACCCCTTTACAATTAGTGCGCTATTAGCGACTTCAAACACAATTCATATGCTAGAAGGACTAGATTTTTACTTACATACCTGAGGGCTAATCATAACCCCAAATTAATACCAGTATTTACAATATTTTAGCGCAGTGTACAGAAATTAGACAAGGTTAGTTCATTGAATCTTAATAAAATCAATATTATTACTTGTAAAAATTATGTGAGCCCTAAGGAGGAACATTTACCCCAGTTACGCTAAATTCCTTTTGAATAAAATCAACAAAATACAGAGGTTATTGTAAACAATATCTTAAGAGTGAGAACTACTACTGAAAGCCATAGTGAAATTCAGTATAACCTTGTAAAAATTATGTGAGCCCTAAGAAGGAACATTTACACCAGTTACGCTAAATCCCATTTGAATAAAGCTGTGTTTTCTCGAAAAAATCTAATGAAGTTCAACAACAGGAGCATATTCAAGGTAATTTCTAGATTATAAGTTAATTATCTGCTAGTTTTGAGACAGAAATAGGCGATAAGGCATAACGTTCGATTAAAACCGTTACAGGCGAAAGACGTTTCAAGCGCAACCAAAAGAAAAGTCAACCGCAACTAGTTATAAAAATCCTTTATATTCTATATAAACAGATTTAAATACCCAGACTTATAATCTAAAATATTACTATTAATAAACATTAATTTTAATAAACATCCTCTTAAGGTAAAATACCCAATCCCCTTAATGTATTATATGAACTATACTAAAATTTAATAAACGCCAGGGGCCCTTAATAGCACATGAGCTAGCATATCAGTAACAATTTAACGTCTTATAAAAACAGAAAATATATATCTACGTATCAGACGTAAGCAAAAAGTTACACCAAAAACATACCCCAAAGTAATAAAAGTAAATTCTTTAACTTATCTCCCAGTCCGTAATGTCGACAGGCAAAAGATGCAGCATATGGCCATGCAGTCGTACGATGCCCAATCTCTGTAGTTGCAGCAATTCCAGTCGAAACGCTGGTTCCAAACACCAGATACCAATATTGGGCCCAACCACTGGATACAAAAACTGGATACAAAAACTGGATACAAAAACTGGATACAAAAACTGGATACAAAAACTGGATACAAAAACTGGATACAAAAACTGGATACAAAAACTGGATACAAAAACTGGATACAAAAACTGGATACAAAAACTGGATACAAAAACTGGATACAAAAACTGGATACAAAAACTGGATACAAAAACTGGATACAAAAACTGGATACAAAAACTGGATACAAAAACTGGATACAAAAACTGGATACAAAAACTGGATACAAAAACTGGATACAAAAACTGGATACAAAAACTGGATACAAAAACTGGATACAAAAACTGGATACAAAAACTGGATACAAAAACTGGATACCAAAACTGGATACAAAAACTGGATACAAAAACTGGATACAAAAACTGGATACAAAAACTGGATACAAAAACTGGATACAAAAACTGGATACAAAAACTGGATACAAAAACTGGATACAAAAACTGGATACAAAAACTGGATACAAAAACTGGATACAAAAACTGGATACAAAAACTGGATACCAAAACTGGATACAAAAACTGGATACAAAAACTGGATACAAAAACTGGATACAAAAACTGGATACAAAAACTGGATACAAAAACTGGATACAAAAACTGGATACAAAAACTGGATACAAAAACTGGATACCAAAACTGGATACAAAAACTGGATACAAAAACTGGATACAAAAACTGGATACAAAAACTGGATACAAAAACTGGATACAAAAACTGGATACAAAAACTGGATACAAAAACTGGATACAAAAACTGGATACAAAAACTGGATACAAAAACTGGATACAAAAACTGGATACAAAAACTGGATACATAAACTGGATACAAAAACTGGATACAAAAACTGGATACAAAAACTGGATACAAAAACTGGGTCCAAGAACTGGTCCAAGAACTGGTCCAAGAACTGGTCCAAGAACTGGTCCAAGAACTGGTCCAAGAACTGGTCCCAAACACTGGATACAAAAACCCTAAAATATACAATCCCTATTCAGAATGGTGTAACTTAATTAGATCCCACCCAGTTATCTCTTAATTAAAGACAATAAAAAGTAAAAGTGAAATCTCAAGCCACCCAGACGGTTGAAATTAGTGCCTGCCAGGGCAAGGACTAATTATGCAAATCAATGAAAGTACCCAATTAAAATTTAATTAGCAAAATGCAAACTGTACCCCACATTCAATCCCCTAAATTACTATCTGAAAGAATGTCTATTATTTACAATGAATGAAAGCAATATTTACAGGACAAATTATACTATAAAAAAAGAATAAAACCTACATCTTATCCCAGAGGGTGTAAATTCAATCAAAACGCAGAGAAATCTGCTTAAACCATAAAATCAGTGTACCTTTTAATATACGGTCTGCTAGTAGTCTGGGGTAGTCTAGGATGCCAACCGAGGCGGACTTTCCGGTTGATCACTCCGAGAATAATTGTTTTATCTGCTTATCAAGTATTAGAAAAACCTGTGTTAAGTGTTACAACAATAAATGTAGTGTAATTATTCATTACAAGTGTTTTGAAACAGTGTCTAAGCTATTTTTCACGGAAAGAAAGGAATGGAAATGTAAGTCTTGCATAGAAAATTGTTCTGTTGATCAAAATCCTAGCGATAATATTTCTGATTTGAAACATAAAGTTATTTTTAATGGATATATGAAAAGGGAAAATGAACTTTTATCTAATTTGAATCACGAACTAAAATTAAATAATGAACTTCTTCAAGAAAAAGTTAAAGATTTGTCCGACAAATTATCGTCAATTCCTATCTCAAATAGTGTTTTTGCTGCCAGTGGCAGTGGGCCCTCTTTTTACAGTGATATGCTAAAGAAACCAGTGGCTAACAAAATGCCATCGTCAAGTCTCCTAATACAAACAATAAATAAAGGGAACAATTCAAATGTTTTAGAGGATATTCAAAAATGTGTAAATCCTGTAGATTTAAAAGTATGCATTAATGGTACAAAAAAAACTAAGAATGGTTTAATTATAAATTGTGATAATCAAAAATCTCTGGATAAACTTAAAACTTCTATAAATAATCAACTTGGTAAGAAATATACTGTCAGTGAAGCCAAAAAGTTTAACCCGCGACTTATTATAAAAAATGTTGATATAGATGAAGATATGTCCTACGAAGAAATAGCTAACACTATTTTCTCTCTCAACCAAATGGATGCCTTTAGTTCCTGTGATCTTAAAATTGTTACTGTGCTAAGATATTCTCAAAAGACATATTGTGATATTGTTTTGGAAGTTTCCCCTTTGTTAAGAAATCACTTATTGCAAAAATCTTTTGTGTATATAGGCTGGAAGGGATGTCCGGTAAATGACTATTTTAGAGTTGATCGGGTCTAAGTCATGAAGAAAAAAATTGTGAAGGTAAAAGGATTTGTCCTATTTGTGCAGACGAGCACTCTATAAAAGATTGTAAAGCAGATCATAAGGAATGTAGTAATTGTTTTATTCATAATAGTAAGTACAAAACCAGCTTAGATTGTAACCACGCTGCCAAAGATATAAGTAAATGTCAAATTATTCAAAATTATATATCTAATCTAAAAGTTAATATAAAGTATGAATAAAAAGAATATCTATAAGCATAACACTTTAAAAATTGGACATATTAACGTTCGATCGATCTTAGCTGGTTTTAATGACTTTTCGACTATTGTCTGTGATAAAGATTTTGATATTGTAGCTGTGTCAGAGACATGGCTTAGAACTGATATACCATCTTCTCTTATACATATTGATGGATATATTTTTTTTCGATATGAAAGAAATAGCCGTGGTGGTGGAGTTGGAGTTTCTGTCAAAAGTAAATAATAAGTAAATAATAAGTATTTATGGATTAAAATAAAAATTAATAGCAGATGTGTTTTAGGTAGTTGGTATTTTATATAGACCACCGAAGGGATCTGGGCCAAATTTTATTAATTTGCTGGATGCACGGAAAAAAATGTGACTAGAAAATTTTACTACAATGTTGTAGTAGTAGACTTGTAGAAAAATACTTAACAATTTGTAGAAAATTTTACTACAATTTATAGTTAAAAACTATTAATTATTGTAGCAATTGAATTGTCGAATAAAATGCTACAACAATAGGAAAGAAGTCCACAATGTTTAGTATATTTTACTATTGTTTGTAGAAGTAGAAATTTATTACAATTATCGTAATTACTACTATTAACTTCTGTAAAAATTTGTACAAATATTAATAATTATCTCTACAAAAAATAGTAATTTTCTCTACAAAAAATAGTAATTTTCTCTACAAAAAATAGTAATACTTTACATCCCTTCTTATAATAAACATTCAATTTTGTTGAAAAATATTCTACAATATTGTAGAAATTCTTAGTCATGTGAACAACACAAAATTCTGCTATTGGCCAACGTTTTCTGAAGTCGATCATAAACGGCCAGACAGCAGTAGCCGTTCGCCATGTTCACATAATAAAGCATGGTACCTACATATACGAGTACCTATAACACATTATAAGCACCGATGCGTTTGAGAAAATTTTAATAATAAATTCTATTGGTGGTAAGTACATTTAATATTGTTTCTGAATAATTTACCTTTAGATAACTAATTTAAATAACCTTAGTAGATTATTTTAAAAAATAGTTGTGGCCAACGATCGAATGTTGTGCCCAACGATCGAATTTTTTGCCAAGTTCAATGATATTTTTTTGTCTTAATTGTGACATACCTACTTTCTCATTTTTGTTAGTTATCTGACTTAGTCATTTAATATTCAAATCAGTGTAAAGGTGATAAATATCCCCGTTTTAAGGGTATGAACAGTTCAATTGGTATTAATTTTTATTTCATATTTTTCAGGTGCAGAAAAGCCAACTGAGACTGGGGGCGCTATTATTACTGTTATTTATTATATAATGCAATTAAGAATTTGTATCTTTTATATTAAAACAATAAATTGAATATTTTATTAAGGAACATTTTTTTCTAGGTTATAATTATAATAATTATGGAATACTACTACAAATTTTATTAAAAATTACTACAATTTGTATGAATTTTTACTATTTATTGTGTAAAATTTTCGTATTTATTTTCATAAAACGCAATACATTTTTAATATAAATTCATACAATGAATAGCAAAAATTATAACAATTTGTAGAACAATTCTTATGATGCATTTGGATATTTTTACTAAATATTGTAGATAATAACTCTACAATACATTCTCCATAAATATTTAGAAATTTTTACTACAAATTGTCCCTGTCCCTATATGTACTATTTATTGTAGAGAAAAAATCTACAATTGTAGAAATTTGTTCTACAATTTTTTTTTCGTGTGATATGTTGACATCAATTGTGCCGCAATTTGATAATATTTTTGTAGTTGGTGATGTAAATATCGATTTAACTAACGCTGACAATAATGTCAATCGTTGCTTTGAAGCTTATGGACTAAAACAAGTCATTTCAGAACCTACACGCATCACAAAAACCTCAGCTACGCTGTTAGATCCTATCTATATTGAAAAATATAAAATTTGTTTGGTAAGTGGTACTCTAAACGCTGATCTCTTTTCTGATCATAGGTTTGTTTATTGTGTTTTAAAATTTGAATGTGTAAATAATCGACAAAAGTTTATTACCTTTGGAGATATTAAAAATTTAGATATGCATGCTTTTAATAATCAATTAAATAATATACATTGGCTTGATATAGTTACTGTAACAGATATAGAAAACAAACTCAGATTTCTTACTAATAATATTACTAAATTATTTGATACTCACTGTCCGTATAAAACAATAAGGGTCAGTAAACCTCGATCTCCCTGGCTAACAAAAAATCTCAAACTGATATATAATGAACGAAATAAAGCATTGTCTCGTTTTAAATGCCTAAAAAGGCCAGAATCTTGGAATAACTATAAACAGCTCAGAAACTTTGCTCTTCTTTCTACTAGAAATGAAAAAGCTGCCTACCTTCGTCTAAAAATAATGACATACCATACGAATTAGCTGATCCATATAAAATTAACGATGCCTTTATCTCAGTTTTTCAAAACAGTAATGAAAACTGCTTTGAAAAAATTGCGTACTACAGAACAAATAAATTTAATTTTAATAAAACATTTAAATTTAGCCTTGTTGATGTTGACACCATCTCCAAAACTATAGGTGCAATAAAATCGAATTCCAGTGGCGTAGATAATATATATTTAGAAATGCTAAAACTTTGTATGCCAGTGATTTCTATTTATATTACGCACATTATAAACTGTTGCCTTGAAAGCGAATATTTTCCTGATCAGTGAAAAAAAGCAGTCGTGGTACCTCTTCCAAAAAAAAAAAAAAAAAATCCAACGACTTTTAATGAATTGCGTCCTATAAGTTTACTTTCTATTCTCTCTAAAGTTTTGGAGAGAATAGTATATGAGCAAATCTATGAATTCTTTTCATCTAATAATATACTTTCGTTGCATCAATCAGGTAGGAACTTGAAAATTGGAATTGTAGCTACTCATTTTTTCCCTTAAAATGAAAAAAATCCAAGAACCTTGTGTTATATCATTTTTTATTTATAATGAGTAATACATATCAAAGTTGTTTTTTTTTAATAGGACACTCTGTATTTTATTTTATATTTGAATTGCCCTTGCTTTTTTCATTATAACAATATAAAATAATGTGAGATTATACAGATTATTTCACACGTTATAACCAGTGTTGTATGAAAATCGTATTGATTTTAATGATATTGCAAATGAAACAATTGAAAAGCAATTTTTTCGCAGTAACAATTTTTCGATGAAGATTTATGCCAACGCACTATTTTTTCAATTAAAAACAAATATGTAGTTAAAATTTAAATACATAATTTTCTCATTTTTTTATTGACCAATAATTACACTTTCATTTACGTTAAGCATTACCTATGTTTAGAGTTAATAATTTTGGAAGAATTTTTAATTTGAATGACAAAAAAGATAATTTACAAAATACTTAAAATTTTAACGTTCTTAATCCGACGTCTGACAGGTGAATTTTTTTTTCCATGCTCCAACACGTGGGGTTTGAGAAACCCCAACATTATAAAAATATTTTAATATATTTTTTTAAATATTTCAACCTTTTTGATTTTATTTTTATAATATATTTACTTTCTTCTGTAAATTAAAGACAAAAATTGGTATTTTTTTTTTCGGAATTTAAAAATAATTGATCATCGGGACCTGATGGAATTGATACAAAATGTCTAAAATCTATACATTCACATATTATACACATAGTAAACTTATAGATAAAATGAATAATTACGGTATTCGAGGAATAGTATTAGACCTCTTCAAACATTATCTATCAAACAGAAGACAAACAATTATAATAGGGAATGTATTGAGTTATGAATCAGTGGTTAAGATAGGTGTACCCCAGGGGACCGTATTAGGCCCGGTTTTATTTCTAATATATGTAAATAATATTTTTAACATAAAAAATGTCAAAGGAAAATTAGTTTGCTATGCTGATGATACAGCACTTATCATTACTGGGAAAACTTGGAATGAAGTTCAATCTACTACAGAAACATGTTTAAAAAATATAAAAATTTGGTTAAATCATAATTTACTCAGTTTAAATATTGGAAAAACAAAATATATAACTTTTTCTCCTTAGCCCATATTAAATCTCAAACTATATAAACCTATATAAACGTGTGATGAATATAAATGTTCGTGTCCTGTATTAGAAAAAACAGTGATTAAATACTAAAGGTACATTTACATCTGACATTTATTGCATGATATTTATGTCTAACAGTTATTTAGTCTAGTATATACACACAAAAATTTATCTCGGACATATATTTTTGAGTGTTTACGCTGGACTAAACAACTGTCAGATATAATTATCATGCAATAAATGTCAGATGTAAACGTACCTTTAGGAATCATGTTTGACCAGCATACCAGATGGAATGAACACGTAACATATCTCACCAAACGAATAAGAGCGCTAATGCACAAATTTTATATTATTAGAGATATCTTATCCCAAAAAAACTTAATTATGTTGTATAATTCCCTAATAGAATATATGATTGATTGGGTATTGTATTACTAGTTGAGGAGGTACTTTTACCACAACATTGCAAAATTTACAATGCACACAATAGTAGTTTGTGCAACAAGTGGGAAAAGTACTTTGCGCACATGTTGCACACAATACTTTTTCTACGATCACGATTTTAAGAATTAAAATTAAGAAACTTATTTGAAATAATTTGTAATCATTTTTATTAATAATATATTATGGGAATGTAATTTAAA